GGGGGGTTTGGGTTGGGGTTGGGAGGGGCTAATTAAGGAAGTTATATAAATCACCAAACATAGTTTACGTTATTCCGACTAATATTGTATTCATTTTATCAATTTTATTTTTTCAAATTAACAACACTTTGTCAGGACCATAAGTCGAACATTCCTACCAAGTTTCAGTTCAATCGGCCCAGTAGAACTTGACTTTAAGTTTGAAATTGGCGGCCGTGGCGGCCCATATTGGATTTCTGATCAACCCGAAAAAGAGCAACATTTTGTCAGGACCAGGAGTCGATTATTCCTACAAAGTTTCAGTTCAATCAGCCCAGTAGCACTTGACTTTAAGTTTGAAACAGTTTTTCAAAATGGCGGCTGTGGCGGCCATATTGGATTTCTGATTGACCCGAAAAATAACAACACTTTGTCAGGACCATGAGTCAATCATTCCTATTAAGTTTCAGTTTAATCAGCCCACAAGAAATTGACTTTAAGTTTGCAATAGTTTTCAAAATGGCGACCGTGTCGGCCATATTGGATTTCTGATCAACCCGAAAAATAACAACACTTTGTCAGGACCATGATTTGATCATTCCTATTAAGTTTCAGTTCAATCGGCCCAGTAGAACTTGACCTTAAGTTTGAAATAGTTTTTCAAAATGTCAGCCATGTCGGCCATATTGGATTTCTGATCGACCCGAAAAATAACAACCCTTTGTCAGGACCATGAGTCGATCATTTGTACAAAGTTTCAGTTCAATCGGCTTAGCAGAACTTGACTTTAAGTTTGAAATAGTTTTTCAAAATGTCAGCCGTGGTGGCCATATTGGATTTCTGATCCACCCGAAAAATAACAACACTTGGTAAGGGAGATGTCAGTAACCTTCCTTATAATGAAATATTAATGAAATCCCTTTGCCAGTATTTCAGCTTAAGTTGAAAATGTAAAATGTTAACAGACGACGCACGACGGACGAAGACGACGGACGAAGACGGATAGCAATAGGTCACTATTCAGGGTACCTGAAACATACATTCTGTTTTTGGCCTTACAGTAAACAACAACAAAAAAAGCTAGGGTTGATCAGGGTACCTGAAACATACATTCTGTTTTTGGCCTTACAGGAAATAACATAAAATGTAAATATCTTGTTCAAGAATAAAGTGAATAAATTACTACCATAATACAGGTAGGCTATAGCGATACAATGTTACCCCGTCTCCTTCGCACTCCTGTAATCTAATAAAATGTTATCTGTAAGAGTACATATATTGTACATATAAATCTATGGCTAATCTCAGCGTTTTCTACGTAATCTGTCTACTCCTAGGTCAGCTCTGAACATCCTGGTTCAAAAACAACGTAGGTATGTCATCAATAACAGACAGCAACTTAAATTAGAAAACTCTGTCAATATTTGAAACTTGAAGGTTGATAATGGGCGATCACATTTCAAAGACGGCCAAGTTCAATTTATTCAAGGTTTATGTACGTGAATCACTAACATAGTGATACAAAGTAGAGTGGTAAACAAGGGAAGTAGCATTCTCTTTTTAACAAGATATGCAAATATTGAACTTCATTTTTGTACTCCATAATACATTATATAAATATGAATGTCATATCTATTTTGTTACACCAAAAGTCTTTGTAGCTCAGAAAAGGCAGCAAACCTAGATAATGACATCTTGTTTGTTGATAGTCTGCTGTTTACAATCGCTATCGCACCGGCGCTTGATGAAATTGGCTGTTGCCGTCAAACGTTCTTGTGACCATCACGGTGGGGAAACGAAGCGGTGCACGCACATTTTTTGCGCATGTGATATTTTTCACTGTCTCATGGCAATATCACCCGCGCCCCTTAAAACCAATTTTTTTCGGAGGGTGACAGAGATTTTTGTTTAATTTTCTCCCAACCAATCAAATAGCTAGAAATTCACTTGAGGTGTAACAATTGAAGTTATTTCATCAAATTGTACAAATTTCTTGAATTGTAGATTTCTCAAAATGTGTCTCGCCATTACAGGGGCGTAATAACCCATATGCAAATATGCAGTTGCGTACACATCTTAAAAAAATAATTAAGACAAGCATACAGGGCCTAACAAAACTTTTGCTTGTTTTATTAAGTTTTAATGGTAATTCAGATTTAATTCATTATCGACTCATAAGATGATGGTAAAGGGGGGTCGTTGTGCAAGTGAAATAAAAAAGGACAAGCATGTTGCACGAAAACAACCCTTACCACCTTATCATAAATGTCCCGGAATTGCATCGGGTGCACACCGAATCGGCTAAAGCTTCACCTTAGTTACAAGCGTTACGTTCACCTGGTCACTTTTCTCAAAATGTCAGCCTCCGTACCAATGAAATCTCAGAGAGGCCCAGGATCTGGACCCCCCCCCCCCCACCATATTCTGACGTCTTTCCAATGACATATAGCTTACTGATGAGGTTAAATATGATGTGTAAACTAAAGGATGGACTGACGTTCAAACGTTCACGTTCCCATTTTTTTAGTACCGAATGTTCTTAAACAACGTCCATTAGCAAATGCGAATCGAAAAGATATTGATTAGGTGTGTCAAGCAGTTTTTGAAATGATGGGTTATGTATCCATTTAGGGTTGGTTGGTATCTTTCTTGATGACCAGCTAATTATTTGATCGGAGATATCAATCAGAATATTACACCTCATTCAACATGTTGTAGATAAATAGCTAACAGTGCTTAACTTACATATGTATTCAAAACAAAAACAGTACTATGTAGTTTCTAAACAATGTCCATAGGCCCAGGCAGTTGTTCCAAAAGTTAGTCACTTTTTCGGGAATTGTTATTTTGAATCAATATTTCTGTGTATAATTTTGCACAGATGTGTGCAGAATGAGAGAATATTTCATAGTACAAAACTTCCGGTTTCTGTTGTGAAAAGATATTTTAGTCTTTGCAATCAAAAACTGTCGTTAAATTTGGAACAACTGGCCCCAGGTTTTGATGTCTGCGACCGCCTTAAGGCGATGGGGTAATTACATTTTTTCCCATTGTTTGTAAGTATGCTATGTTCGTCCTGAACTGGTTTCTAATATGACTCGATTGAATTACTTCAGTTGAAAATCATTGTTTTTTGTCTCTGAGATATAAGACTTGATTTAAAAACTTTCTTGATAACAGCAGGAGTAGCTCTGTCCTAAATTCACATTTTGTTTTTGTTTTGGTTATCAACAGAATTTAATGCACCCATACCAGTAGAACGATCTACATCTAGCATGAACGGAGTTTGATTTAATCATATGTAATGGATTATGTATGATTCATATCAGACTGTCCGTATTTGTCCATCTGTCTGTATTTACCCATCTGTCTGTATTTGCCTGTCTGTCCGTATTTGCCCGTCTGTCTATATTTACCCGTCTGTCTGTATTTACCCGTCTGTTTGTATTTACCCGTCTGTCTGTATTTACCCGTCTGTCTGTATTTACCCATCTGTCCGTATTTGCCCATCTGTTTGTATTTACCCGTCTGTCTGTATTTACCCGTCTGTCCGTATTTACCCGTCTGTCTGTATTTACCCATCTGTCCGTATTTACCCGTCTGTCTGTATTTACCCATCTGTTTGTATTTACCCGTCTGTCCGTATTTGCCTATCTGTCTGTATTTACCCGTCTGTCCGTATTTACCCGTCTGTCTGTATTTACCCATCTGTCTGTATTTACCTGGATGTCCCCTCTACTAGTATGCTGTTGTTTTATGATAACTTGCATATACTGAGTACATACTATAAAATGTTTAAGTTTACGGTTATTGAACTGCAGAACAGAATTTGTAAACTTATAAAGCAAATATTTTGATATTGAGGATGAATAACATTTTAAAATGAAATTTTCATGTGAACAATCCAAGAGAAACAAGATATCCCAGAGGGATCTTGGCGCCCACCATTGTACCATCTTTATCAGTTCTTTGTCAGTTCAATCTTTTCTCTTCTTTCCTCTAATCTTTTTGATCGAGTCATGTTAACAGTAAATGAAATGCACATTGTGGTAACTTTTGATCTAAACTTAATTAATACTGATGTGTATGAAAGCCAACCTTCAAAGTGAACATGTTAACAGTAAATGCAATGCACATTGTGG